TTACTTGTTTCAATAACTTTTATGATATAATTAAATATTTTGTTTCTTAATTTAAAAAGAAATAATATTTTCACAATGAACAGTGATAAATTTGTAAAGATTTTGTTCGAATTTAATGTTTTCAAAAGTAATTGTTATACAGAACGTTTTATTGGAATTGCTGTAATGTGGCGCTACACAGTTAAATAAAAAACAACTTGTAAATATTTCAATAGTCTATATAGTTTGTACAACATGATATAAAATTAAAAAATCATATAATTATATTTTTGTAATTTTATAATACTAAAACCAACAGCTTTCTCAACTCTTAAACACCAACTATATCAAATGATATCGCGAAAAAAAAATCCTTGTAACATTAAGACTTTAGTACAAAACTATAGACCTTAATATCAAAATTTAGTTTTCGAAAATTTCATGCTTGTAATTTCGGCCTTCATGCAATTCAATGCTGTGGGTCTTGACTGCAATTTTTAAATCAAATCTTATTTAAATTATTATAAGTCTTTCCGAATTTATTAAATATTCTGCTTACCTTCTATTTGAAAACTAGTGTGCTAAATTTTAAGATTAACAAAGTACATACCTAATTGAGAATTAAATAAAAATTGTTTACTTGTTCAATCTTCAACCATATCTAAATTGAAAAAAACAAAATTCATAAAAAATATTTCTTCCTTTAAGTTTTAAATAGCCTTGAAAATATTGAGAACTTTTCCTTCTCTTTTATTTGTAAATGCATTGGAATTTTCGTTTTCAAGAAAAAGAGCTCATACTTTTTGTTTTTTGCTTTTGAATAACTTTTTGTTTTAGTTTTTATAATAATTTTAATAAAGGAAAAGGAAAATCGAAAAGTCATATAAAAAGGAACATTATAACGCTATATTGTATAACAATAATAACCCCAATAAAAACAAATTAAAATGCATTTAAAATTTAGGATAACCTTTACATGAAATAATAATGCTTATTATCCGCATTATAAGAATGAAACACAAAAAGGCTCTTATTTTTTTTCGTTAATAATATTATTTATTAAATTATCATTTAAAGGTTTAAAGGATTGTATAACTAAATGAAATATTATTAGCCTTAATTTATACATGTACATAATGTACAATGGCATATGCAAAATTGGAAATTAATTAATTAATTTTGAAGAGAAAGCCTCTACAAAAGTGTCAAAAAAACTTTCGTGGGAAAAATAATCGTTGCAGTAAGATGACTTTACTTTTTATTTCAATTCCGTGCCATAAAAATTTTTCATCAATTTGAAGCATCTTTTTCTACAGTTCTCCTATTTTTCAATTCTATATTCCAACACCAAATAGCCATGTAGGACATTCAGAATTTGAAACACGAGCAGTGTACCATATACGAATTCTTATTTCCATATGACTACCATAAACTATATAGAGAAAGTTAGTATTTTTAATCCTCTTAAAGTAAATAGCATAAAATTATACAATAAAATATAAAAAATGTTCAATTGAGAATTAAAATGTTGGAAAAAAGAAGAACATTTTTTTGAACGGAAAGTAAAGCAAAAAAAAATTTTCAATAAATTTTCACAGAATTTTCTCGCAATAGTAAATTATAATCCTTTTATGTAGGGAGAAAACACAAAAACAATTTCTGACTGACATCCTTTTTAACTTATTTACCAAAACAAAGAAAAAAAAGTTTTCTCTTTGTTTTGTTATTTTTTATCTCTTGTTATTTTTAAACTTAATTTTAACGTTGTTGCACTGAATTCAAATGAAATTCTGCAATTTATCAACGAATAATAAGTAACTCTGAATTATTTTTATTGTGAAGAATATGTGAATTTTACACTCTGAAACAACATTGAATGAAAATTTTGAAAATGCCATATTTTCATAATGAACGGACGATTGAGTAAACCACCCACAGATTCATTCGTTCAATCGAAGAATTTGTTAATTTTTTCTCTTGTTAAAGTATGTACAGATGGTCCAAAAATATTTGGTTTTTATTTTTAATATTTCATGTACGAAAATTTAATCAAAGAATTAAATTGGAGCCTTCATTTACCGCTCGAGTCAGTTATTGAGGCAGCTATTGACGATTTTACACAATTATTAAATAAGAGACTTCATTTTACGTTTACTTTTAACTACAAATTAAAACAGATTAACTACAAAGCTCTCAAAGCTTCACTTAAAAATTAAATGCGGAGTAATTACAAATTAATAAGAAACAACAAAACTAACAAAACTTCGCTTACAAATTAAATGTAGAGCTTTTAAAAATTTGCTATTCTAGCCAATTCATAACTTTACTTTCAAAAATATTCGTTTTTAGCATTTTTCCAAAAAATTTAAAAAAAAAAGTGCTTATTAGTTTCACTCTGTCCGTCCGTCCGTCCGACTGTCCGTCCGCCCGTCCGTCTGTCTGTCCGTGTGTTTGTTTACAAAACTTCTACACCCTTGAAGATAAAAAGCTGAAATTCTGTATGTACATAGATCTTTACTAGAAACTTATTTCTGTAGAACAAAATTTTTACCTATCTCCCCCTCTCTAGAAGTTATACCCCTCCAAAACCCTAAAAGTAGCTTTTTTAACTATTTGTTGCAATGAAACCTTAAACTTTAGAAAAACAAAATGGCCGTTCAAATTTAACGGTATCTAAAGTTTTTTTTTTTTCAAATTTTTGATGTCGTTTTTCCTTTAGACCCCAGCCTGTAAAAGCTTGAAGTTTTACGGGCTTTTAGACATTAACAAATAGTTTATTTCCTTAGAAGAAAATTTTTTTCCATCTCCACCCCCTCTCAAGTTATCGCCTCTTGAAATTTGTAAAATTTGAATTTTTGACACCTTATATTTCCGAAACCGCAAGCTTTTTCAAATTTCTATAAATACAAGAAGCTAACGGTAAATTCCATGACATTAAAAAATATAATTATTTTTCTTAACTCACACAATTAACCATTAAAATCGAGCATTATGTTAACCCCACTTTATATTAATTTTTGCTTTATTTCAAAGACTTCATATATGCATCATCCTAAATATATGCAATCCTAGAAATAGCTTTGTATATGAATGAAAATAATTTTAATAGTGTGATAGGTATACATAGACTGTATTTAAAAGCAGACTTGTTAAAGGGAAAAGTGCTACAATACAAACCGTTGGTTTGACCCAAAACATTTGATCAAAAAGAAGTTTGAATATATTTCTCAAATTTAAAACTATAAATTGATAGTTTTCTATAATGTTTTGTGGTATGAATTTTTCTCTGTTAGAATGAATCTCATTTAGTATGTTTTTTGTTTTTCAGTTTTTTACATGACCGAAAGCCACCTTCGCAACGATTTCGAAATCATTTAATTCAATTCTATCTGCCATGGTGATAAGTATACAGAATTATAAAGGTTTTAGAATATCTAATCCATAGAATTAGTAATTCGGGACTAAATACTTTTGCTTAGCGGTGCTATAACTAAATTCAATTTTTCATAAAATAAAAACGGCAGAAATCACAGTTTATGCATGCATCTATAGATGTTGTTTTTATTTTTGAAAAACAAAAATAGACTAATAAGCGAACGATTCCAAAAATGAAAATCGGTAAATAAATAAAAAACGTTAAAGTATTGAAATATAAGAGTTTCCGATAGCTTTATAAGGAACCAAAAGAAATTGCATTCAATAATTAAAAGAAATGATTGAATAAATTGAAAACATTGAAACGGCTCCAAGCTAAGAAAAAGTTCCTTTATTTTATAAATAAAATCAAACCCTTCATTTTACAACCTTACTTAATGAATCATTTTACAATTTAATTAATAAAGAATTAAATAGCGTCGATATTTTCTGTAGAAATGAAAATAAATCCTTTAAAAGGAAAATATTTTATTGAAATTTCTTGAATTCAGGGCATATTTGTAAATAATTAACTGTTAATTAACATTTGTACATAAAATAATAAACTTACATACGATGGAATTAAAATCAATAATTAATTAAGCGAAAAAATCAACAGGAAAGGATTGCGCCGAGTTGATTTTTAAATAATCAATTTGTTAAATCGACAGTTTTCGGAATTAAATTTTTCGATTGTGAACAAAGATAATCAATTGTTGTTTTTTTCTTAATTACAAAGCATGACCTTTAATAAGTAGGTGAGTTGGGGCTTCTGAAAAATTTCATTTAATTTTATTTAAATAAATTTTGCGATTTTCATTGGATTTCTTATTTTTCTTAATTCATAAATTTTTTAAATTCTTAAAATTCTTTCTTTCAACAGTCTAGCTAATTGAGTTAATGAATAGAAAAAAATATAGGCACAAACCCGCATCAAAACTATCCTTGCCAATCTCTTTTTCTAATTTTTCTGTATACATAAAAAATATTTTTCCTAAATTAAAAGTTCATTTGGCGTCCTTTTTGATTCCCAAAACAATAATTACAAATTAATCAACATAATCCCAATGAAAAATTAAATTACATACATTAATTTTTCATTGGGATTATGGGATCTAATCTGCCTACCACTGAGCAAAATGTAGAAAATCTATTATGTTATCCGAAACAAATGAAACTATTAAACGATTTTAAACATTTTCTTTTTGTCTTATAAAACTTTACAATTTAATTTTATTTAAGTTTCTCACATCATTGTTTTTCCCACAACGTCACGTTTTTAGCAGTCACCAGTACCCTTTTTAAATTCACAAGGGGAAAAATTTTTTAATGGAATAATAAGAAACTTTATTTCATATTGTTTTAACATTTATAAATCTTTATCTTTTTCGGGAAAAATTATACAAAGGGGAAAAACGTTCTAACTTTTCATAACAAAGTTTTATAAGATTAAAAAAAAAAAACAAAAAAAGAAAACTTTAAAAACTAAAAAAGTTGCTAAAGGAAAAATCATAATAAAAAAAAAAATTTTTTTCGAAAAAACTTCATCTTTAAATTTCTTTCCACTTACTTATATACATACATTTATTTACTTTTTTTCATTTTAGATCAAAACATGTTAGTTTCGCTCGTTCGCACACTTTAACATCATTTGATGAAGCAGCTGCTTTAGGTTTAAGATCATCTGGTCGTAGTTTAAAAAGTGCAAGAAGTCAAGAACGTTTAATTGGTGGTAAAAAACAAATAATGACTATAAGTAATATACAACAACAACAGATGGCAGCAGCTGCACAACAACATCAACAACAGCAGCAACAACAACAGCAACAAACATTAAATCAACAAATTCAATTAGGTCATATACATACAATGCAACCACAATCACAACAGCAACAACAATTACAAATTCAAACACAACAACCACAAGGACCACAAATATTAGCATTTCATCATCATCATCATCCAACATTAATAGCAACACCACATCATCCACATCCATTATCCCAGCATCCATCATTAACTGGTATATCAACGGCTGCAGCACCTACTGGTGGTATATTAGGTTTCTTAGTACAACCAGCACATCCAACATTACAACAACAACAGCAGCAGCAACAACAGCAACATCATCATTTGCAACAACAACAGCAGCAACATCATCAACAACAACAACATCATCAACAGCAACAACAACAGCAACAGCAGCAGCAACAACAACAACAACAGCAACATCAACAACATTTACAACAATTACATGGAATCGGTTATCAATTACATCAACATCAATCATCATTATCACCAGAAGTAGTTCTAGTCGAAAAAATTAAACGTGGTGCTATGAAAACACAAGCTACACAAACAGATACAAGTTTAAAAAAAGGTTCTTTACCACCATTAAATTTATCATTAAGTCCACGTACTGTTCATAGGGTAAGGTCACAAATTCAAATTCCAAGTACTTTTATTTTTCGACAACTTACTATTTTACGGTTTTTGAATTTTAAATATTGATATTGAAAATATAAGTTTTACATTAAACTGAGTGAATACCCGGAATTCAGGTATTTAAGACCACTTCAGATTTTTACTAATTTTGAATTCAAAGTGGTTTCGTTCATAAAAATATTTAATTTATTTGGGTATTTAATTATTTTTGTAATATCAAACCTATCGGGATTAGTTTTTCCTACGTAATGTTAATTTAATTATTTCTTGAGAATTAAATCTCGGTCTCAAAATGTTAAATACATTTTGAGTAAACTACATCAAAATTTTATAGTGAAGTCATATATACTATAAAAGTAGATACATGACAAAATTTTTATTTAAACCCATTTAAAATCAACTAAATTGCATCTTCGTATAGTTCATCAGGTACATAATTGTGCACTTAGAACTATAAAATATAGATTATAATTACATTATTATATTGTGTACACAAATTTCATCCTTCTTTTTGAGAAAATTACAATATTCTAAATAAATGAACCCAATTTTTGAACAAAATCATATTTATTAAAGTAAATAAATTTTGTAATTCTAGAAAAATTTCATCTCTTTCTACTATAATATCGGTTTCATCATATTATTTCTAAATATACAATATACATACCAATCAATATACTCATAAATTAAAGATGTTACAGCCCATCATAAAACTCCTGTTTTGTGTAATCCTTAATGTTAAACAATTTTTACATATATCACATATTATTATTGTCATTACAGCACACATGTTATATAAAAGATATTACGCATGTAACAATTGATTTGAAACGATAATTTATTATAGTGAACAATATTTGAAAGAATCATAGATAAAAAAAAACAGAAACACAACAAAATAAAAATACAAAATAGGAAAAAAAAACACCCGATTCCCAAAAGAGAATAAGAAAATTTAATCAATAGAAGAATCAATTGAATTTATCATAAGAAATTGAAAATTCAATTCAAAAATTTCTATAAACTTCCATTTTTATTCTGTATAACTTTATTTTTTTCTGTTATTGTTATTGTTATTATTATTATTGATATCCTTGAATTGAAGACATTTTCAATTATATACTATATTTATAATGAAATGCTTCCTTTCTCCCTTTTATACATTATGCACATATTTAATAGTGTCCTTGCTTTCCCTATGCTAAAATAAAATAAAAAATATGCTTAAATATTTTTGCTTTAAATGAAACTGAAGGTTGATATTGTGTATAAAATAAATATAAATTTATATGTATGGACATATAACGTATACTTGGTTTTATGAGGAATGGTCAAAATTTTATTCCAACTATTATACATATAAGTATATAGGTTTATTTTATTACATTAATTTGGGCAACATAAAAATTGTTCACTTTAAAAGTATAATGCTTCTATAATAGTGAAAAATCATAACAAATATACTTCGTTCTTTCTATACATAATATATGTATGTACATATATATGTACTTCATTTACTTACATACAATATTTTTTATATATGGTGATATTTTGTGCTTCAATTTCGGTTCACTTAAAAATCTAGTGAAATGATTGTACAGGATTATTATATTTTTTTTTTCTATTTTACTTTCTACTTTTTTCTGCATTTATATACTATGTTAGTAATGATAACAAAAAAAAAAGAAATAAGTAAGAAAAAAAAAAAGATAAAAAAAAATATTTAGTTGTCCTTAAAACCATGATTCTACTTAGTTATAAGGAGTAAACAAAAATACAAAAAGGAAAATTCAATAGAAGCACAAACAACGTACTGTTTATACTTAAGGATCTCTTTTAGTTGCCATTAAAAGGCAAATACAATAACATCAATTTAAAAAAGAAATCTAGTTTTTCCTTTTTTTTTTATTTTATACATATATATATAAGTATAAATAAGTGCAGAGAAAAATAGGGAAAAAGATAAGATGAAAAAAATAAGAGAGAAAAGACAACAAACATATAATATGATTTTTAGTCCTTATTGTCCTTATTTTCAATTCATTCTCTCATGATCTTCTTACATATTTTTGTGACAATAAACAAAAATAATATTCAAATAGTTAAAAAAGAGGTATTATGAATTTGTTTTCGAATATTTAGAACTGTGAAATTTGAAAATTTAATATAATTTTATTACAATGAGCGAGGAATAATTAAAATGCGTAATAGGAAAATTATAAACTTTAATTATAAATGAAATAATTTTCAAAAATTTGTCAAACTTTTGTAAATTTCAAAAAACAGAGTATGCTCAGAAGGGGTTCTTTCAATAATCAGAACGAGGTTCTTTTCTATTTTCTATAACTTAATTATTCAACTAATGCCTAATACATATGTCTAACAGGCCACCAAGCTGAAATTATTTTCCGAAATTTTGAATCGAAAAAAATTCAAAAACAATTCTTAATATTTTGTTTTCGAAGCATGCCGATTGAAATATTTTTTTTATTTTTTTTGTGAAATTTTTTAATATTTTTTGTGACTCTTACTTTATTTAGTACGTTTTTAAAAGCCATCTAGATTAAAATTATTATTTTTTGCTTTTTTTTTTTCAATTTATTTTAAATTCATATTCTTATTCTGAAATTTTACTCTGTAATTCAATACTCTTCCCTTTAGAAGACAAGAAAAGTTTTCTGCGCTAAAAAATTTTTTTTAAACGCATTTTTAAAACGGAATTTATCAACCGATTTTTTTGAAGTTTAAATTTTTAATTTAAAAGCATGTGTAGAATCAGTAGAGCCAAAAATATTGATCAATACCCTTTACAGAAATAAATCCCGATACCCCTTCCATTTAAACTCCATATATGTTTGGAGTTTATTTTTGATTTGCTCTCTGAGTTTGGTGGCCTGTTACATATATGTATATGGCATTAATTCAACATATAGCCATTGATATTTAAAATATATTTCATATAAGTATTTTAAACCATCTCTATTAAGTGATCGGTTGAAATTTTTTAATAATTTTCCGCTTCCGATTACTGAAAATACTGCAACAAATTGAAATTTTATTAACTAACGCACCAGAAACGTAATCATATTTATTTCATATATTCCATAGAGTCATATTATATTCTGTTGGTAAAATTTTGGTTCTTTCTTATTTCCGCTAGTGAGCTAATGAGTAATGTTTCAATTATTTTTGTTATTCACTAACGAAAAAATTAAATTATTTAGAATTAAACCAGAATAACATTTATTTTTGTTTTCTAATCTATAAATTTATGGCACAATCTTAACAAAAGATCATTTTATAAAATTACCCCAAAAAATTTTCAAAATCCTGGTCAAATTCAAATTTTTAAATTTTATAATAGCAGCCTTAAAATAGGCAAGATCAACTGTATTACTCGTAATATTTTTTTTTTAATTTTATTTGCTTTTTATTACTAAGGCTTGCTGCACTTACATCGAAATTGGTTTCATCTCATACAAGAATAATATAGAAATCACAAAATACTTATACACAATATGTATTATGTACATAAATATATCCTTACATATGTATGTAGGAATTTTTCTTCTCTCAAGTTTGCCTTTTTTTGTTATCCATTGAATTGTTTAATATTTATACTATAATATGTATGTAATGTATATGTTGAAACTTATTTAAAGAAGGACCAAAATAACATTTGGTTTTTCTTATGGTAGAAAAAAAATCAAAACAAGAATAAATGTGAATACCCAACAAAAATAATATGGGTATAAAAATCCTTATGTAGTTAAAATTATAAAAAAAAAAATCAGAAGAACAAAAATAAATGAGAGATAAAAAATTAAAATCCTCTAGTGGACGATTTTCTTAATTCGTTTTAAAAATTATCTTTGGAAAAAAAGCGGAAAAAAAAATACATTTTGCTAAAGATCTAACACTATGGTAGCTAAGTAGTATGACAATTTTCTTTAAATAACACCAATACGGAAGGTAAAATTCAAAAGAAATATGAGAAAAAGTTAAAAGTTTTGGTATTCAGGTTTTCGAATCCTTAAAGCACTTAATATGTTCTCACCTTAATTGATTTTCGAACACAATATCTACTTCTTAATTTCAAGGTTTGAAAAAATTCTAATTAAATTTCAGCTAAGTGGTAATTATTATTAAATTGTGTTCATTTTCTTTAATACATTTAAGATTATTAAAGCTAGCAAAGGCATCCTGTTGAATAATTTTAAAAGAAAATAATACCAATTACGGTTTTTTCTAAGAAAATATGAAAAATTCAGGGAAAATTTTGAAAAAGTTGTAAATGATAGATAAAAGGTATGAATTTAAGGAGAATTTAAGGAAACGAAAAGCTAATCAAATTATTAAACCAACTTCAAAAATAAAAATATTATCATAGCAATCGTTTTTATATTTCAAAAAAAAAAAAACAATTTTTTTTCCCATTTAAATATAATTTTGGAAAAACTAATGAAATACCATGATTGTACTTTTTTCGTAAAAACTAACTGAAATGTTTTTAACTGAAGAGTAAAAATTTCTTATAAATATTTTGGATAATAAAGATTCATCAAAGTTTCAGTAAACTTGCTTAGAAATTATTTATTATCCCTAAAAGAAAAAAAATGTCTTATATACAATGTATAACAAATTTAATATTCCATTGTACTAGGTTAAGATGGTATCACAAGGTGCTCAAACAAACGGAATGATAAATGGTAGAAAATTAACAAAAAGTCTATCTGAAATGACTGGAGGTATGAGGCAAATGGCTACATCACCTGGTGACTTATTAACAGTTGAAGATTCTAGAAAGTAAGTACATAAATTATCTAGTGAACATAAAAGACTGACTAAAATTTTATCATTAAGAAAAAAAGTTTATATTTATTTAATACATTTATGATGTTTGCCTTTGTATTCAGTGTTATAGAACATGAACAACTTCATCGAACTTTTTCTGAGGAACCACCACGTTCACCTCTAATGGTACCTCAACAAAATATTATAATAAGTCAACAACCCCAGCAGCAACAACAGCAACAATTACAGCAACAACAACTGCAAGCACAACAACATATACATCGTTTTTATGAACCACCACCACCGCCTATAGGTGGAACGCAATCGAGGTCATCATCACGAACTAGCACAGAACATCCAGCATCATCTTCATTAGATCGTTTAAGCGGACATTCACGAAATCATTCAGAAGATAGTGCTGTTTCGTATCATTCAATATTAGATCCAGGTGGAATGGATTTTATTGGACGTGAAAAGTCTTCATTATCAGCCTCTGGTATTATCAATTATCCCTCTTATGGACCAACGTCATCATCAACTGTATCATCAGTTCAAAGTATAGCAACGCAAGCAGGTGGAACGATACCTTCTATGGCACCAGCTACAAGTAGAACTTCACATATAGACTACCGTAATTTACCATTTTCTTATGGTGAAATACCTATACCAGAAGACCGTCGCAGTTTAAGTTCTTCTCGTCCTGACACTGCAATGAGTTCAATTAGTTATGACATGCATAGTGGACATCATATGCATAGGCAGTATGGTTATGAAGCTAACAGTTTGCCGCGGAGAACATGCACACACCACCGTCTTGCACCACCTGGAGAAATGTACTCATTGAGCTTACCACGTTATGCAACCCCAAGAGAAAATCTTTTCATGCCTGAAACAGTTTGTCGGCACGCAACAGAATGCACGGAATTAATGAATGGTACTGCAACACCGATTGCACCACACCAGCAGGTACGCAGAGAATTATCTCGTGACAGTTCTACAGACTCGGCAACTCAAGCGATGGAACGAAGACGTGCCTCAACAATGGGTTTTAGTGACTTATTCCCCCGTACACATGGTACTTATCGAAGACCATCAATGCCCGTCCATCCTATAGTTGCACCCGTCCATAGCATATCTTCTGTAGAGGCTGATGATGAAGGTGGTGCAGAAAAATCCGAAGAAGAAGAAGAGGAAGAAGAAGATGAAGAAGATGAGGATGATGAAATTGAGCAAAAATCTCAATCCGTAAAAAAATCAATAAGTTTAGAAAAAGTAGAAAAAGAAGTTCCGAAAGATGTAGAAAAAAAAACGATTCGTCAAGAAGAGGAGGAAAAAGAAATTTTTATCGATTTCAAACCTCATATTTCACCAACACCGAGCCCTAGGAGGCGAAGGAAATTGCATAAAACCGTCTCTGATGGAGAAGTTCTAGCTGAAAAGCAACGCCAAGAAAATGTTCGCGAAAGCATACTCTTGAATGCCTCGGCAAGTGATGAAGATTTAAAAGTTATAACAGAAAATGTAAGTGAAAAAATTAAGGAAAAACACCCAAAAGAGTATATATATCAAAATCTTCCTATTCGGGATGAAGCAATTTTTTGTAGAAAAGATCCTAATTTATTAGCTTTACCAATTTCAAGCGAAATATCAAATGGAATACAACAAAAACGAGAAGCCTTTAGAAAGCGATCAATTAGTTTGGAAGATCCAACAGCTGATGATGAATCAAGACAACTCAAATCAGCTCCACCATCACCGTGCCAAGAAGAGGGTGTAGTACGCTCAGCATATCCATCGTCTGATTCATTGGCGAATGATGTAACAAGAGATCATTCTGACGGTATATGGAATGAATCACAGGTTACCGTACTTACGGCTAAAAATGGTGAAATTGATTCTGGAACAGCTTTATTGACACCTACTTCAAAGCGTAGAAATTTATTATTACAACATCAACAGAGAAGTTCAATTGATACCGATGCTTTAGATTTAGAAGAACAGTTTTCAGATCAGGTAAGTGTTTGACTCAAAAAAAGTAATATTTTATTTTGTATCATACCCAAGTTTTATTTCATACTCGTAAAACTAAATCGATACTACAAGAAGGATTATCTATCCTTTAACAAAAATAACGAGGTTTATGAGCAAAATCAAAATATACCATCCAATATATTGTGTATATCTACTAATTAACGAAGAAAATAATAAAATTTTGTTTTATAAATTTAAATCATATAGCAGAACAAATTTCTTTTCTCCTTTAATGAATTAGCAGACGGTGTTCAAAGAAACCCCAAAATATTAAATACTATTATTATTGCCTATAAAAATGTCTGACCCAAAATCATTAGTCCGTTATGCCATTCATTTTAATTTACATCCTTTATGTAAATGTTAAGCTCTTTTATTTTGCCTTCATTTCGTAGCACTTATAAAAAATTACAACGTCCTGAGTAGTTTTACAATTCATAAATTATGATTATCCCACAAAATATACAATTAAAATAGTTCTATAGTATGGTAGCTGTATAATATTTTTGTATTGAAATATTGTACAAGGTCTTATTGAAAAAAATAGGTTTCTGCTTTATTGCCAAAGTAAATAAATGGTAAACCTTTAATTATGAACTCGTATGTATTTTTATAATTTATCAAGTATGTTTCTTCCGAAAATTCTTTTCTCAAATCGATTAATCTAAATTTCAATGTTTGTAAAATAAATAACTGCAATGTGCTCTGGAATATTTTATTATTTGTGTATGTATAGCTAACTACACACATTATTTATATAAAGATGCAGTGTTTCCCTTCCAATAAAAAATTACAAATTTATATTATTCTAGGCTTGAACTTCCCAAATGGTGTTATATAAAAGAAGAAAATATTCAGTCCCTTAGTCTAATTATGTAAATATTCTTCTACCAAAAACTGATGAATTTATGTACTCTATTTGTGATTTGAACAATTTTTCTGGATCTATTAAATAATGTCATGGAATTTTTTTCATTATTGCATAATAAGAGGCACCAAATTTTCATTAAATGATACCAAAATATATGGCAAATCCAAAAAGGATATATTTAAAAACAAGTACATTTGCCTTAGTACTTTTTAAATCGTAGATATAAGCGAATTAGATATAAAGTGCATATTACTACTAACAACAAAATATAATCAAGTAACAAGTTATCACCCCTCTTTCTAAATGTACCATACTATCGCATGAGATAAAAAAGGAAGTGAGACATACATAAAAAACAATTTTTTCTGTCAAACACACGGGAAATTTGATTTTAGACTGATACTGAAGTATAATATCCTTCAGTGTATTCACATGGATAATATGATTTTAAAGAACAAGTTAGTTATTGTACTCTCTCAAATATTCTTTAAATCATCTGCCAAGTTGATTTACATGATTTCTTGGTAATTTCATAAACTTTCAACAAAATATTTATCTAAAGTTTTTTTTCAAATTCAAAATAATTTAAGACAACAAAACCTTAAAATGTTGAATAAAACTTTTGTTTGCAGAATACCACAAAATTTAAAATTTTATCTAAAATATCAAAATTATAGCATTGGAAAATATTTAAACCATTTTCATTTGAATCTATTTTTAATGTATTCTGTCTGGTATTTACACAATACTTCATCTATGGAATTCTTTATCCAATTTAATTCTTAGCGTTAATAATTAGTTCTTGTATAATTTGAATAATCAATACGCATTGGCGACAGAATTTTATCAAAAAATTTTCAAATTTGTATTTTATTTAAATTAAATTTTATATTTTGACAAAACTAGTACGTATATATATATTTTAAACGAGTGTACACACATAAATAAATGACATGGTTTGGATTTGTTAACATGCTCTCTTATCTGCATAAGTGTACAAATCATAAAGGATGAAGAATTTGTATAATTTTGTTAATATACATTTAAACAAAATTACAACGTAACTAAGAATGTACGACAAAAAAGATAAACAGACTCGAGATGTATTCAATATGGTTAGGAAAATTCAAAAGCAATTTTTTTTTTTTTGGGTATTCTGAAGCTTGTTGAGTTTTATTCTCAACTTGTTCCATTCTACTCCTTACTGACTAAGTAAAGATAATAAACTTTTCTTTAAAATTTTTAAGCGACAATGTTAAATTTAATTAACAATGTTAACTGAAATTGGAATGCAAAAGTAAATCAAGAACCCGCTTGAAAAAATATTTTTTACAGACTTCCCTTACAACAAAGAAAAAGTTTTTGTTGAAACCTTGACATGTGAATTTTAGTGCGATAACCTTACATCTCCTCTTGACTTAGACCATTGGTAAGACTGAAGGAAGAAATAGGACTTTAGCAAAGAGGCAAAAACAAACATTGTATTAAAACCTTTAGGTACCACCTTAATATTAAGCTAAATTTAAGATTAAATGTAAACTAAAATTTCATACCTTTATGTCAAACTTTTGACAATAACTTATTTGCAATCAATAAACTGACAACACGAATTTAAAAAAAATAATCTTGCGCGATCACAACATAACTGACCGCAAGGCATTGTTTAGCTTAGCTAAAATGTTGCAAAATGTTAGGGTTTAATTTGGCTATTATAGTAGAAGCTTACTTTGTTCCATCTAAATTACCTGAAAAATTCGTCAGTTAGTAATGGCAGAAAACAGAACTCAAATATTAAATTTCAAGAAAATCCGTCAATTAATTCCATAGATATGGCAAAAAATTTAATTTCGGCCCTTGGTTCGGTTTCCCAGTTGGCATATTTATAAGTTCATTTTTTAGTGCCTCAATTTAAATATTGAACGATGAAACATTTAAAATCGGTTCGTATTAAAGATCCAGTTCCAGACTCTTAATTGACATATAGAAAAAGTTGAACAAAACGCGCTATAACCAAAGTAAACTCAGATAAGAATTTTAATAAAAATCCGTTCAATCGAAATTGAGATATAGATCTGCACAGACAGTCTGACAGACATCTCCCTGAAAAGAGTTTATTTGCAGTTCCTGATCACGGGGATGTTCATTTCCGCCGAAAATTCTACTTATGTATCAAATTTAATGCCATAACATAACCTCCCTTGTATGCAATAAAAAAATAACGGAATTTTATTAGATAGTTTTCTATATTTTCAATATCACATCAGAGTTTCACCAGATTCAGTATCAATTTAAGATTTAATATCTGTCATGTAACAGGTACCTTACAATTTCATTATACGAAACTGCGCCGTTTTCAAAAAATTATATTATAAAATTTATTACATTACTAGAATAATTATTCCACAAACTTCTGCGATATTATTAGCAAAGAATGTTATAAATTTCGAATTATTATTGTGTTTCGAATTTTAAAATAATTGTATATAATGAACAAGACAATTTAATTCAATACAATTTTACTTGGAATCTCATCTTGTAATTTTCTTATCACATAATTTAATTATAATCCAAATCGTTAACATATTTTATCGATTATAAATTTTAAAACCTAAATTTGTTAGAATTCTATTAAAGAATAAAAGTCTAAATAATTGAATGAAATGATTATTAGCTCTTAATTTTCGAATATACTATTTAGAATAAAATATAATTATAATATTGTATTCGTTAGCTATTTTATAATGTATATAATATTGGATCATGCTATATTTGTTCGAGTATTATTCTAAAATCAGGATATAGATACAATAATGATGAATTCGTCCTCAACAAATTCTCTTAGCAATTCTTCTTTGTATTTTGTCTTATTGATTTTATCTGAGATTGATATTTTGTTCTTTATTTATTTATTTTTTTTCATTATCTTCTATAATTAAATTTCTGATATTTGTTCAAGTTCGATTATACAATACATATAATTAAAAAGAAAACATTCTTTGTCGTATAGACATAGCTTTTTGTATTAAATTTTAATGATTGTGTTGCTTTTGAGAGCGTTCTGTTTTAATACTTTTATATAATATAGGCTGTCATTTCATTTACATGAGAAAACTACTTTAGAATATGAAAAAGTTTGAGAATCAAACCATTTTGTCTATTATACAAAATAAAAATTAGTCTACATTTTATTGAATTGCTCAAAAGAAATTTGTATGAAAAAAGTATGAAAACAACCATTTTTTATTTTCATATCGACTTTGCGTTAATCATTCTTGTTGTAAAGCATCTTCGAAACAAAATCTTGAAAATTTCTTAAGATACGTGACTTCAGATCCTTTCTATTATTGAAATAAAGGTGCTAAAGGTATTTTTAATTGTGAAAAATTTTGAGGATTTACTGAAATTCAATTATATAATATGTACATAAGTATGTATGTACGAATTCAATTGGTTTTGTGTGAGTAGAACTGTAGAGTTATGATAAAATTTGTCCTTGAATATTGTAATATACATACATACATATATATGTACATATAAATTTATTTAATATTATTCATGAATAACTTAAAAAAAAAATCACAAATATTTTTTCATTAATAACATCTACTTCCAATATTAGTTTTCTTTTTATTAGCTTTATATTGTTAGACTTAATGATTAGCCAGTCAGTTATCATTTTATTGTTCTTTAATGAAATTTATGCTTCACTGGCAAATGAATATTACAATATTTTCAGCTATGAATTTAATATGAAAATTACAATAACTTTTTATTTTTTCATAAATTTTATGTTTTTGTTTTGTTACAAAAAATTTACGCCTACTACGATAAAATATTTTTATATGAATAAAATATTTTGAATTAATTTTGAAAGGAAAACTTTTTAAAGTTAAGGAATATTAAATCTCACTTATTTAACCCTATAATATCCACATAAACATTCGGAAAACTAAATTTAAACATAAAACAAAAGTAACTATTGAGAGTAGATATTTTTTATCAATCAGAAATTTTAATTTTTTCAGATTTCTCTCGAAAGTTTTAAATTGTCTTAGATTTTTTCGACTCGCCAACATAAAATTCTGTTTCTAATAAGATAAGCAATATCACG